TAAAACACTTCTATCCTAGGCATGTTATGATACACAAGTTCAAAAATGAATCCTGGACATGGTATGCAACTATATGGCACGTATCTGAATGATGCACAAAGTCAAACTCCAATCAAAGAAATATCTCGTACTCTATTTCAACAAAATCAACATCCTATGATCACTCATAGCTCATGACCCCCTCTAAGCAATATATAAGTAGAAAATTGATCGTTTATGGTTCACGACCCCCTTAAAAGCTTAAATGAAGCAAAGAATGGTCAGCGACTGAAAATAGCAAGAAACTTACCATTTTTGAATAAAAATCATGACCGGTAAATAACCTCGGTCTCAAGCCCTTACTTAGCTTTTCAGAAATGGATCACAAGTATATAGAATCAAGCAGATGGCATTTGACAAACAACTTTCCAAGACAAGACAATATACCCCAAAACTTATTTCAAATGACAGTTTAAAATTCAAAAGAAGTTCACAAGTGATTACTAAGGCCAAAGAACAACAATGGCATCCCAGACATGCATTTTGAACTCTAAACTTTCATTTCCCTCCCCCAAACTTATTCAAAGATCAATTCCAAAAAGATTTACTCAAAAGATGCATAAAAACTTTCAAAACCATCAATGTGACAAAAGTATGCGCAAAAGGTGTATATACAAGCAACAAGTTGCAAATTATTCCAATATGCACATAATTATTCAAAGAAGATCACATTTGACAAGTTTTAAGCTTATCAAGCAACATTGGAACATTTGACTTCAAAAAGTTTGGTTTGGAATGGCAATTTAACACCTTTTCAAGAGAAGTTCAAAATCGTGACAATTGGGGTCAAAAGATATCACACTTGCATCCTAGCATGGCAAAAATCAAGAATTGAGAACAAACAAGTTCAATGGCACGTAACACATGCATTTGGATGGAGAGAAAACAAGCGGAACAAGTTTTAACTCAAGTGAGGGCATTTTGGTTAATGTTAGAATTTACAACACTTTTGGGGCAAAATTTAAATTTTTAAAAATTTTGAGGTCTAAACATTCACATGCATTGTAGATGAGCTTCATAACAAGAATCATGAATTGAATATTCAACAAAGGAAGAAATTAAGCAACTTGACTTCTCATTTTCAAAACAAAGTTTAAAAACTCCTTCTTTTTTTTTAACATTTTGGAACCAACAAGTGTGATCACAAAGGCATTTTAAACATTTAAGAATCATTTTACCAAACCAATGCACCTTAACCAAGAGCAATCAACAATTTAAGATCAAAAACTTGCAAAGAGCTAGATTCCATTTTAAATCACATTTATACAGTTTATCATGACTTGCATTTTCAAGTTTCAAATCAAGTCATGCTTACATGCATTTAAAACAACTTAGAAACAAACAATATCCATGCATTTTCATAATCAACACAAACAAATGAAACAAGTTGAGAATCACACTTATCAATATTCAAATTCATATGCCATTGCAATTTCAAAATGATCAAGACATTTTCAAGTTCAAAAATTTTCTATTTCATTTCAATTTTCAAGAACTTCAAAACAATTCCTTTTTGACATTCAGGCTTCCATTCCAAATTCTAAAGCAAACTTTCCAAGTTCATGACATTTAAATTCCAAATCCATTCAAGAATCGCAACACAATTTTTCAAATTTTATTTTTCTTTTTCAATCAATCCAATTACACACTTTAAATCAATTTTTCCAATTTCCTTTCCAATTCAAGTTCACATAAATAAACCAAATGCCATTAAAGAATGTAAAACCAAAATTTAAGGTCATTTTTACAAAAATCCAGGCATGGGTTCCCCTTAAAAATGTGCATTCCACAAAAATTTTCAAGAAAGGCACTCATATAAGCATATATACATTTAATCAAAATATACATTCAAAGTTTCATAAACAACCAACTTAAATTCTCAAGTTCCATTCAACACGGCAAAAGGGACACTGTCCACAATCAAAATCCATATTCAAGTTTTTGCCCATTCTCCTCCTATACTACAAACCATACTCCATATTTTTCTACAAACTTCAAACATTCAATGTTGTCCCAATTTTTCATTCACAACGTACTTCCCAGCCTCCTCAACACAATGATCATTGATAAGCGCTGAAAAGTGTGCATTTAAACCCCTTAATCTTGAATGTTCTAAGACCTTATTCTATCTGATTTTTTCGTTTTAGTCTAATTTCATGTTATTTCCCTTTTCAGGAAGTAATCCCCAAAATAAGTCAATTCAACTGAATTAGAGCATTTAAAGAAGCAATCTTGAGCCTAGTGGAAACAAAGTGGTGAAAAATTCCTCTCCGATCGATCGAACCAAGCTATGATCAATCATACTGTGATCGTTCCAACCCTGTCATAATGGATCGAGCCCTTTGTCCTTATCTTCAGGAAAATTTCCTATTCGATCGACCCAACCTTTTATCCGATCGATCGAACCTTTTGATCTTATCCTCATCAACCACTTTTGTCCTTTTCCCAAAAATATCTCAACCAATCATATGATCGATCAAACTGCCTCAAATTATGTGAAAAACATATTTCAAGCCGAATTGAAGGTGTGCTCGTGGTGCAATCATTTGGAGGTCCTAGTGCACGAGGTCTGACCATTGGGTGTGACATTTGAGCTACCTATATAAGGAATTTGGCCATTTTTAGTAAGAGGTGGGTTAGTTAAAGAGAGAATTAGCTAGAGATTAAAGAGAGAAACATACATTTTGGGAAAGTTCTTTCACTCATCTATGGTTTCTACCAAGAACACCAAAGGAGGATGATGAATTCTACCATGGAGATAGCCCTTGACGGTTGGATGACAACATCAATGAGTGGCTAAACCATTCTCTTGGGGCTAGAGATATCCCTAAGAATGCCTCATAGACTTTGATGTTTTGTAATTAATGGGGATTTGTGTTGTAATTCTTGTTTTGACCTCTTATATATATAAATCTTGTTTCTACATGATTTGTGTAGTTTAATACTTCCAATTGATCATTTAACTTTACCCATATGTCTATGTATGCTAGAATGAATGTTCATGTGTTTTTCTCTAGATTTTGTGACATTAATGCATGTCTATGTGTGTTGATATTATGAATCTAATGATGGTTAAGGCATCGTGCTTAAATTGATTACTCTTATGGTTTATTTGATGGTTCATACTTATTTCTTGATGGATTGTGCCACCTACTTAGTTTAATTAGTTTAATTTTCATGTCATTAGCATAGTTGTAGTGTAATTGTTTTAATTTCCTAGATAGGTGGACAATCCATTCTTATTGTTTGATATTCCATGCTTATGAATGCAAGTAGTATATTTCTCTAATTTATTGAATGTGCATTAATTATGGGCTAATGGAAGAATTAATGGCTTAATTTGATATGTTATGCTATTCACTAGATTGACTAGACAATGTATGCTTACTTGGCCATCCATGTTTAATATTTCAATTAATGGCGCACACTTTCTTTTACAACACATAATCCTCCTAATCCATCAAATATTGAATGTCTAGGAAGGCAATGCTTTCCCAAGAATCCTCTCTCATTCTCTACACCTCGTTTGTTTTAGTTATTTTACATTGCATTACATTAGTTTAAATTGTAGTATAATTCAGCCAACAAACCCCTCTTTCGATCATTCGACCTACTAATTCAACATTGATTGCAAAATACCTTTCCTTTCCCTTGGGACGATCCCTACTCACTCTTGCTACGTTAGTAGTTAGTAGTGGTAGTGGCATTCTACAAATTTAAACTTGGCCACATTACACCACTTTGAGCACTTTGGTTCTCGACAACACCAAGCTTTGGTGCTGTTGCCGGGGATTGGCAACGCCGTATTTTGGGATTAATTAGGAATTAGTACTCCTTTGATCTTGTTTTTATTTTATTTTACTTTGTTTACTTATTGTGTTTGTTCTTAATTGGTTAGATACTTAAAGCCAAGGAAAGTGAAGTAAAGGAATTCTAAAGCAAAGAAGCAAGCTAAGTTAAGCAAAAGCACAAAAAGCTAAAAATAAAAAATTATAAAGCAAAGCAAGGAAAAAGTTAAAAATATTTTGAAGTTGCTCAAGGACCCTTTGTGAGCTTTTCTAACTCTCTTACTTAGTTAAATCGTCGGCCCGTATGGTGCCAATTTATATTTTCATTGTTTATCATCGGCCAAGGAGGCAATTTATTTCTTGTATTTGATTGAAATCATGGGAGTATGGGATCAATGTAGGTAGAGGTTTGTTGTTAATTGACTTGTTGCGGAGGAAGAGTGTTTGCTACTTGTTATTGGTTGAGTTGTTGTTTGTTTTGATTGTGCAAGCATGGTCATAGGTCTTTAAATCCTACTCTTGTCCCATTCAATTTTAATTTTGAATCAATTGTTCGTAATCCGAGGGGAAGGGGTAATTCAAGTGACTCCATTTCATCAATGGAGGAACATAATGAGGACCATGTTGAAGACCTTGGTCACATCGACCAATAAGGCATTCTTCACCCTAATGTACATCATCAACATGTTAATATTCAAGTACCATTAGGCATGCCAAGACCTTTCATTCCACAACAACAAGGCCAAGTTCCAATAGGAATGCCAAGGCCATTCTTTGCACTACCTCTACCTCCCGTTGTTCAATCAAATCATGGTGCTCGTGTAGAGCCACCAATTATGAATCCTTCCCTTGCATTAAGAGACCATTATGTGCCCAATGAGTATAATGCACCAACATGCATTCAACTTCCTCTATTTAGAGCACACCATTATGAGATTAAACCACAAACAATCCAAATTTTTCCCAATTACCATGGTTTATCAAATGAAGAACCTTATAAGTATTTGGATGAATTTCTTGAAGTTTGTTCCACCATGAAATACATGGACATGCCGAAAGAAGTTTTGAGATTAAAACTCTTCCCTTTCACCCTAAAAGATAAAGCAAAATATTACTTGGGCAAAGATACAACAAGAGTTCTTGAAAAATTACTATCCTGTGTCTAAAACCAATGCAATGAGAACTTCAATTCGTGAATTCTCACAAGGGGATGGGGAAATGTTTCATGAGGCATAGGAGCGATTGAACGATTTGCTTAAGAAATGTCCACACCATGACATCCCTAAATGGCAATTAGTTCAATTCTTCTTTGAACGTTTGTCGGACAATCATAAAGGTATGGTTGATGTTTCTATTGGTGGTTCTTATCTTGATAGGCAAGTATGTGGCGCTTATATGAGAGCATGAGTGACAACTCCATGCATCAATCTTTATCATCTAAAATCGGTAGAAATGTAGGTGGAAGGAAGAATGTAGGCTTATATCAAGTTAACCATTCTAATGATATAGTCGCCGAAGTGAAGTCTTTATCCCAAAGGTTTGATCAATTTTTGATCAACCAAAATTCGGCCAACCAAGTGTCTTCCTCCCCTAATCATGCTCATCATCCTTCCAATCAATCATGCATGACTTGTTTTAGTGTTTTGTATTCTACTTCCAATTGTCCCCATGGCCATGCACAAAGTGAACGCCATGAACAAGTGAATGTTGTTTTTGTTAACCAAGGGAATAATCCCTATGGCACTCACTATAATCCCGGGTGGATGAACCATCCAAACTTCTCTTGGAAAAGCCAAGGGGAAGGCTCAAACCCTCCCCAAAGTGGTTTCCAAAGCAAATATGTTCTGCCCCCTTTGCAATGCCAAGGTTCCCAAGGTTATCGTTCATCTTACCAAGCATCACATGGAAACCAATTTTCAAACTCTCATTTTCCAAACCAATTATCATATTCTCAAGGTAATTCAAAGAGTCCCGCATTTGAAGAGAAAGTTTTATCCGCTTTGGGTACTTTGGAAATAAATACTCAATTGCTTCACTCTCACTCCCAATCGATCGCAAAGCTAGAAATCCAAGTCGGGCAAATAGCTAGCACATTGAATGCAAGGGAGAAAGGGAAAATGTCTTTGAATCCCCCACCGAAGCAATAATTTGTTGTGGAGACCAATTCCTCTTCGGAAGGTCATACACTAGAACATGTGAATGTGGTGACCATTTTGAGAAGTGGGAGAGTTATTGATAACCAAGTTAGTGTTTCCAATGAAGAGAGTGAATCAGTGTAACCCAAAGTTGACACCCGTCCCGTTTCACACCATATTCCTCCTTCATTAAATGTGAAAGAATCATTTGTTGAAAATGCTTCAAAGAATATTTTTGAAAAAGCTTGTGAGTCTAAGGCTCCATTTTTAAATGCTTTAAAAGTGTCCACCTCTCTTGAAAAGCTATAAAACAAGGCAAATGAAATCATTAATGTATTTGTGTAAGTAAAAATCAATCTCCCTCTCTTGGATGCAATTTGAAAAATTCCGGCTTATGCCAAATTTTTGAAAGATCATTGCACCTTTAAGAGGAAAAACAAAATCCAAGCACCGAGAAAAGTTGTTTTAACCAAACAAGTAAGCTTTATCTTGTAACATAACACCCTCCCAAAATTCAAAGACCCTGATTCACCGACTACTTCATACACTATTGGTGATCATGTTATCAATTGGGCTCTTCTTGATTTAGGAGCGAGTGTGAATCTTCTCCCTTATTCGGTCTATGTTCAATTGGGCTTAGGTGATTTGAAACCGACATCGGTAGTTTTGCAACTAGCCGACCGATCAATTAATAAGCCCCGGGGTATCATTGAAGATGTTTTGATTAAAATTGACAAATTCTTTTTCCCGGTTGATTTCGTTATCATTGACACAAAATTGGTCCCAAATCCTAAGAACCAAATTCCCATTATCCTTGGCCGTCCCTTCTTGGCTACCGCTAATGCCAACATCAATTGTAGGATAGGGATGATAAAGATTTCATTTGGTCACATGAAAGTGAAGTTGAATATTTTTAATCCAACCCCTAATTCTATGGACAAATATGAAGAGATATGTGTTGTTGAAAAATGTTTTGCAAATGAATTGAACAAAAATGAGTCTTTACTTAGTGTTGAAACTTCAATTGGTTTGTCTTCCAAATAGATTTCAAAAGAAAGTGTTTTCAAATCGACGGGCATGGAAGCCTAAAAGTTTTGTTGACCATGGGCCATCGATTTCACTTGAACCAAATCTAACAAGTTTCTTAGGGAATAGTTTGTTGGGTGGGGTTCGAAGTTCCATTCACCCCATTAAGGAGGTGATGCATAATAAGATCGTTGATCTGGGCTAAAAGAGCCCAACGTCTTGCTAGAGATGTTAAACACTAGTGCTTCGTAAGGCTTTTCAACCCTATTCCTCCCTCATTTCTCTTTTATTTTCTTTTCTTGAGTCGTCTAGATACAATTTATGATCATTCATTTCTGTTTTGAGGTTTTGATAGGGAATGAGTGCACTTTGATCTCCAAATTAGGCATTTAGTGCATGTTCGATCGATCACAAGAGCACCTTCAATCGATCGAATATCTCTGCAGTCAACTCTCTGCATATTTTCATGTCTCTGTACCATCGTTCGAGGTTTTCCGCATATTTTCAGGTCTCTGTCCATCGTTCGAACTTTCTGTTCGATCATTCCAAGTGCACCTCAATCAATCTGGTTATCCCTACGATCGATCTCACTTCCACACTTAGAAATTTTTTAAAGCTTTGCATATTTCATGTCTTTGTCCCATTGTTCGAAATTCTCTCCGATCGTTCAGAGTTTTCCCTGTTGACTTTTTGTTAACTTTGAATTTTCAAAAAATAATAATAATAATAAAATAAATAAATAAATAATAAAAATAAATATATTTTCAAAAATTCAAAAAGATTTTAAAATTTCAAAAATTCAAAATTTTTTTAAAAAATAGTTTGTCGTTTTACATGTTTAATCGATCTGAGTATCTTCATGATCGATTAGAGTTCGATCAATCTGGTGGACCATGTGATCGATCACATATGTCGGGAACAATTTTTGAAAATAGACCCAAGGGACATTTAGATCATTCCTTTCATCGATCCAACGCCCTTCTCTCTCTCCCGAGGCTCTCCTTCGTCTTCCCCATCTCCTGCAAGCCCCAAGCTTCAAATCTTCCATCTCTGACCTCATCTCTTCTCTTTCTTCACTTCTCTCCTCAAATCTTGGTAAGTTCAAGCTTCATTTTCTATTTTTGTGTTGATTCATGTGTTACTTTGTTGTCATCCTTAGATTCGAAGCTTTTAATGTTAATTTTGTTTCCATTTTTGGAATTGTGAGCATGTGTATATATATGTATATATGTGTATATATCGTTTTTGTTTCCGAATTTGGTTCGGGGGTTACGTGCTGTTTTAAGTGACCATTTTTGCGTTGTTGAGGTGTATAGGGGGTCACGAGCCTTAAAGTGGCCATTGGGATTTGCCCTGTGTCTTCCACATCACGAACGGGTGACTTTTCAATTTTTAGCAAGTTCGATCGATCACACTAATGCTCTGATCGTTTAGAGCACGATCGATCCAATACATGTCATGATCGATCCAACATGGGATCGATCACATTTTTCCATGATTGTTCAAACTTCACTGTTTTGCATATTGATACTCCTGTACCCTGTCCCGTGTTCCATGCTATCATATCTATGCCCAATGCCTATATTTTCCACGTTGGTTGCATTCTTTACTTGTCATGTTTAGCATGTTTTACAATATTTGAATAATCAGAATATACCTTTTGTTAATTCACTGTATATACATGGCTTGTGATAAGCGCCGAATATTGCATATTTAAGCACCCTTAATTGCATTAGTTAAGCCCATTATTTGATCTTTGTATATAGATTATCTTTATTTTTTGTGTTTTTGTGTTTTTGCAGATTTAATTGCTAAGAATAAATAAAAATAAAGTTTTAAGGGTTTTTGAAGAACAAGTCATATCAGGCTTATATATTAAGTGATTTCAAGAAGAGATGGCCCAAATATGTAACCGATACAGTCAACACTACAAAAGAGAAAAAGAAGCCAAGTATCAGGACCTTGCGTCCGGACGCCAAGCAGCTACACCTCGCGTCCAGATGCCATGCTTCACGTTCGGAAGCAAGCCTATGGGACCCCATTTTGAATAAGTCAAAGTTTGTTCCCAATTAAGTAGGAATTTGAATTTTGACGAGTTGGGTTGTTTTGAAACTCATTTTGGGATTAAGATGGGGCAAAGGCTTGAATTGAATTAGTGAGTTTTGGATTCTAAAAAAGATATTGAGAGGGAGAGGATTTTCCTTAGGGTTTTATACTGAGTTTTGTAACAATGGGGCGGCAAGGGAAATCTTTCTCTTCTTCAATCCTTGAAGTTGCTACTATGTCCATGAGAAACTAACTCCCTTCCTAGGGAGTTGATGTAACCTAGACCAAGTAAATATGTTGTAGTTGCTATTTCAATTTGGGGATTCATCTTGTATATATGTGATTTCATAAATTAGAAGTTGTTTACATTGAATTGATGTGTTTTTACATTGAATTAATGTATGTGATTTTTATTTGAATATATAGTTATGTTGATATGTTTATCTTGTTTTAGAATCATATTGGCACAATTGTGTACTTGATTTCCTATAGTGACAATGCGAATGAATTTATGAAATGGTTATGTTGACCTTAAGGATTTCATCCAAAGACAATCTAGAGGTTTTGATGATAACAAAACATTAATGGTGTTTAAGGATTAATGTTTACATTGAGTGTTATACATTATTCACATTCAAATGATGACTTCAATGAAGCACGAAAGATCATTCCAAGTATTCCATTATTCAATATCACATCAAGGAAAACAATGGATACAAGGAAGACATAAAGTTGCAAAGAAGCAAATGCAAAGTCTATCCAAAGATAGCTTGGACTACAATGAGCAAGAAAGCAACTCAAAGAAAGGAAGAAAGCAAGTCTACCTAAAAGCCTACATGATCATGGACAAAGTGTGAAGAAAGGGGTAGATAGGATGGTAAGTGTTTAGGATTCAATGTTGATGAGCACAGAAAAGTGTGCATTTAAACCCCTTAAGCTCGAGTATTCTAGAACCACTATCTATCTTACTTTCTCGTTTTAGACTAATTTCATGTTATTGCCCTTTTCAGATACTTATCCCCAAAATAAGTTAATTCAGCCAAATTAGAGCACAAAAGAAGCAATCTCAAGCT